GTAAAAAGATAGTTTTATCAGTCTTCATCCGTGTATGCCATTGTTTTGCGGTTACTACAGTTCAGTGGATCAGGAGGCGCTGGTGTGACTGAGTGGAGGCGGGACTAATTTGCATATTCATAGATCCGCGTATAGTAAATGAGGCAAGGGTGTAGAGTTACATTCAAGCTATTTTAAGGCATGAGAAAATTATTTTCACAAGAAAAAACATTTAAATATGTCATTTTGATGATCAAAGATAAGTTTTAAGGGATAAAATATTTGACTACAGGGGGACTTTAAAGGGATAGTTCATCCAAAAATTAAATTTGGTCATCACTTGCTTACTGAGTTGTACCAAACCTGCATAAATTTATTTTTGTCTCCTGGACACATTAGATACTTTGAGGAATGTGGGTAACCAAACAGTTGGCAGTAGCCACTGACTTACCATAGTATGGAAAAAAAATAAATAAAACTCTATGGAAGTCAACTATTAACTGTTTGGTCACCTACATTCCTCAAAGTATCTTCTATGTTCACTAGGAGAAAGAAATTCATACAGGTTTGGAACAACTTTATGGTAAGCAATTTATGACCAAATTTCAAATTTGGATAAACTATTACTTTAAAATTTTAAATACATTGCATTCTCTGTTAAATAGTCATTCATGTGTCATGAAAAACTTTTTTCCTGTAAAAAAAATAAAAAAATAAAAAATCTGTATTGATTTTGATTTACCATCTTTATAAAGTGTAAATATGACAAATGAAACTAGATTCCAATGAAATGCAGAAATGTTTTTTATTGTTTTTTTTTTAATTCTCTCAAACTTCAGACATGTCTGAAAATATTAATAGTACAAATGTTAATATAACAAGAAACTAATTAAAAGGTACAACATTTTTATATTGAAATGTCTATTTTTTGTTACATGTGGTATGTAATTTTTTACTATTATATTTATATTTTAAATATAAAAATGTGTTTATATTTTTTTTTATATTATATAAATACTACAAGTATGAAAAAAAAATTGATGTGGGGTAATATATATTTTTTTTCTATTTAAAAAAAATATATATTAAAAACAAAAATTATAGTTATGTATATATGTAGCATTGCATAAATATATTTTATATTATATATATAATATATTACAAATATGAAAAATATATGTGGTGTATTATATATATATATATATATATATATAATTTTCCTATTTCTAATATAATATTTAAAAAAAATAAAAATTTGATGTATATATGCAGCATTGCATAAATATATATATAATTATATTATAAAAATTATGTATTACAATAATATGGTATGTAAAAAATTTGGTATATTATAAAATTGTAGCATTATATTGTAAAAAATAATATATATGTATATGTGTGTGTGTAAACTTTTTCTTAAATATACATGTAAATCCAGTATAGAAACTATCAACATAAATATACAAATTTCACTTGAATACATGTGCACTTTCTGGGACATTTAAACGTTCACTCAAAACAGTGGACCCTGAAAATTTGTGAGGATACCACACACAGTCCAGAGCTGATTTACAGAACCAGACAGAGGAATCACCCGATCGAAAATGTGATATTCCTTGATTTGACGAATGGCCCGTTCAATGTGAATCCTTAAACGAGCAATGTTGTGTGTGTGTGTGCGAGTTCTTCATGGCTGAACTGTCCAATTGGGCCGAGAAAAGGTGGGATTACTACTGTGGCATGAATTTCATCAAGTAGATCTTTGATTAAAAAGCCTTTGTCTGCCATCACAGCATCGCCCTCTTCCAGAAGATTCAAAATGCCAGATGACTTGGTGATCTCTTTATCAGAGATGCTTCCTGTGTAAAGACGGCTCACAAAAGTCATGCTCCCATCCGGGGAAATTCCAACCAGAGATTTGAGTGTAGTTGTGCCTTTGTAGTGCGAGTAAGTCTCAGAGTTCAGTACCTTGGAGCTGGCAGTTTGGACTCGGACTTCAGTACAATGCAGGATGACTCTGGTTTTGGGGTAGAGAGCTTTAAAATACTCTGGCATAAGATCATCAACTGCAGCTCTACTTGGCCATATAGGCAGACTCCCCAGCATGAAGTACAAATCATTTGCCAGGTAACACCGATTCGACTGACTGCACTTTGTGAAATATTGAAACGCAGAGCAAGGTCTTGTTCAAGAAGGCCCAGTCTAATCCAGCAAAGAAACATGAAAAACTGATTAAACAGGGAAAGATGTTGTGCCTGGAATCCAACCCTCAGTGTGTGTTGGTTGGTTGCACTAATTCTTTGCACTTGAGCCCATGCTCTGTGCTGTAGAGCCAAGAAAACGGCTCTTAAAGTGTCAAAATCAGGGAACCCAGTGTAAAACTGGATGAGTTTTGGATTACCCATAAAATTCGGAATGCCAAACTGATGACTTTTGAGTCCCTCATTTTCCGCAGACAGACGAGAAATGTCCTCCCGTGCAGCCACAAGCTGCTCCTCAGTAGTCATGGGCTCCACACAGTAGTCATGATCGGTGTTTGGCATCTCTGTGACATGACTACATTGAGATGCACTTGAGCCCATGCTCTGTGCTGTAGAGCCAAGAAAACGGCTCTTAAAGTGTCAAAATCAGGGAACCCAGTGTTAAACTGGATGAGTTTTGGATTACCCATAAAATTCTGAATGCCAAACTGATGACTTTTGAGTCCCTCATTTTCCGCAGACAGACGAGAAATGTCCTCCCGTGCAGCCACAAGCTGCTCCTCAGTAGTCATGGGCTCCACACAGTAGTCATGATCGGTGTTTGGCATCTCTGTGACATGACTAGATTGAGAGAGAGAGAGCGAGAGCGCGGGCAAGTGAGATAAAGTTGAATTTACACACCTATTCTATATTCATATTTATTTCTCACTTGATGCATTTATATACACATTCATTTTCTATGATAGATTTCTACTAACCATTCTTCGTTGCTTGGTCCATCCTTTGTAGAACTGGAGAGAAAAAAGAGAAAATTAAAACCCAGACATGTAACGATATTACATACAGTTGGTTGGACAAAATAAAGTGAACAGCCATTATTATAGGGGTTAATAACATTTGTGTAGGTTACAGTGGGGGGAAAACATTGTGATTATCATTTATTCATATTTTTGTTTATATTCTCTTGTTTGTCTATCAGTACAGTTTCAGCAGTGTTTAGTACTGGCTGTGTGTGAAATGGGTAACAGGTTAGATATCCAAAAAGAGCAAATCATCAGTGCCTGTTGAACAAAAACATCTGTAACCTTAAGCTCAGTTGTTGTGCATTTAAAAAACAACTGATTTTATGATTAAGACTGTAATTATTATTATGACTTCATCAGCGAAAAAGAATAGAGAGCAAAAACAAGGTTAATGATAGGGGCCATCAAACACTAATAAAGATTGTGAACAAACAACACAAAACAACTTAATAAAGAAATATTGCCTATTTTGCAGGTGTTCACATTATTTTGTCCAACCTCTGTTCTGTCATTGATTGAACTATACAACTTACATATCACGCTTATATGACACACAAAACTTAGAGTAACGTTATGTATTTACATGTTCATTTAAAATCATTATTTAAACAGTAAATTCATTCATTTTCCCCATTTCTGCTCACCTTTCATCTTCCTCATGTTCTTCCTCTAAATGACATCTTCCTTGTCTAAAGCAGAAACAAATAATAATGTTCTGAACAAAATTTGGATATTGTAATCTATACAAAATGGAGACATTTAACCTTAGTTGTTGTCGTAAAACATCATATTTTAGCTCTATGTAAGCGTTTAAAGGGGTTATATGATGCTTTTTTAAAGATCATTATCTCTTTGGTTTTGAGACTTTAGTCTTTGCAACTTCAGGGATCTTATCTATTCACGAACAGCTTGTAACACTCCAAAGAGAAAGGAAAACTTGAAATCGCATCATATGACCCCTTTAAAGGAAGATAAACATGCTCACATTAGAAATTAGCGATTAGCCAACAGGCTAGTATCCACAGTTTTGTTTTTTTTTTTTAATAAATGCAATATTGTTACCTGAAAGTTAGGTCCTATGTCCCGTCGAATTTTAACAATCCACGTTTTCTGAAGTTCTTTGTCCTGTGGAAATTTGTGAAATTATGTATTCTCTTTATTTTGACGGCTAAACGATCGACATCCCGGTACACAACAATATGCCATAGTGAACGCTGCTGGACTGCTATCTCTCACAGCCTCGTTTTCGAATCAAAATGGCGGCGGGCTGAATAAGGCGTATTGTTTGTTTTGGTTTCTTAACTCAAATTTCAGACTCATCCGCTATGAAAGTTTACTTGACATCCAGTACAGTAGGTGGCGGTAATGCTCCTAAGGAGTTATTTGCCATAAAACAAGAAGAAGAAGAACTAACGGGTGTGTCGTGGCGACATCGTGCGGTCAACACGTGCAACTGAACCTCCTCGAGCGCAGCAGCTGCGTGACGCCATCAGTGTGCACCGCGGACGAGCAGCACGTGAGGAGGATCGGCAGGAATGGCATCGACACAGGAAGCAGAAATCTATGAAGTCAATATAATGCCACATATACTGTATATGCAAAATAATAAAGTTTTGCAAAAGAAAATAAAGTTTTGCAAAAGAAAAATAGTCTTGAGCAAAAAAAACAAGTTTTGCAAACAAAAATAAAGATCGCTAAATAAAAATAAAGTATTGAGAGAAAAAATTTAAGTTTTGCAAAGAGAAATAAAGAATTGCAAAAATCAATGACAGTTGTAAAAGAAGCTTATGAACTCTGATTCTATTTTATCTCTGCAACACATATTTTCCATGCTCACACCTACTAATTCATTTGCAATGCTCCATTTATTTTGCGTTTCAGTCAAGCCTGAGCTCGCGATACCGTTTTCCCTTTGCGCTTCACTTTTCTGTGCGTTTCACTTTATGGCACTGTTTTGACGTGGGGGGTGGAGTCAAGAAACTGGGGCGTGTCATTAGCAACAGGTTCGAAAGTCAGCATGGCAGAGCGCAGGCCTGCGGGTGGATTCCAGGTATGTAAAGTTGATTGTTTCCTTTTATTTCACTAACATTAAAATGTGTGTTGTTTTGTTAACTACATGCGATTACTATTAACGTCGTTTGCCAAGTTTAAGAAGTTAGAGATCATTTACTCGCGCACGTGAACGTGTTGGAAAAAGTTAGCATCTGAT